CCCCCCCCCCCCAAAAAAAGTTTTTCATAACTTCTCATAATCAGGTTTTCAACAGCTGGTTTACATCCGGGATCTTGAATAAATCGACTGTCAGTGAGTCGAGAAAAGTTCCATGTGACGATTTATGTGGAGAAAGCGAGAGTTTTACGGAGTAATTTGACGATGTTTCGCCCGTCTTAAGTGTGGAAGTATTATGAGTGGTTTTCGGAAGTGTTGTGATTGCCTCCAAAGTCATTTAATGTGTGACTTACCGAAAGTGTTGACAGACTAACCGCAAGAATCAACAGCCAAGTTTGTTCCGCCAGAAAGGAGATGGCTTGCCCCGCGGCTTTGAAAATGAAGCTCACGATCGAGCTGATGAGGCCGGGGAGGAGAGAACCGATTTTTTTGCCGATTGTCTGTAGCCCATTGCCGATGCCCTTGCCCAGCTTTTTTAGAGCTTTGGTCAATGCCCCAATAACGGCGCCAATCGTTACTCCAGCGGCAAAGACAATGGCAGTGACAGTGAACCCATATTTTTTGAAAATCTCTGTTTCGCTTTCACGAAACGGGAACTTTTCCCGAAGCTTCTCATTTTGTTCTTCGACAGCGGCGACGTTTTGTCTCTCTTCTTCTACTTTTTCACGTGCTCTCTCCCTTATTTCCGGTTGTTCATTTCCATTGTTTGCAATATCTTCATTTGCCCCTATTTCTGCATTGCACCTGTCGACTCCTTCTTGATTTTGGGCAATACGCTCATGTCTTGACTGACCGAGAGCGTCTTTGAGAAACTCTGGGAAGGTTTCTCTCACTGACGTATTTTCATCGAAAATCACAGTTTCGCCGCCCTATGGGCCAAAAACTACGATTTTGCCCAGGTTCTTTTGTTTCTTGAAATTTCAAGATTTAGCCCACTGCCCCCTCACAGTTATAATCAGGGTAAAGGCCTTCTAGAATTGACTGTGCCCAAATTATTCTTTGGTCTTCAGGATTATTAATCTGTCCACGGGGAATGGCTCTAATAAAAGATGTTTCTTGAATGTGCCTTCTTTCGGGCGTCCTATTCATCGTTGTAGTGTGCATGAGGTAGCATTCACCAGAGGGGCCAGGCGTTGATGAAGCCCCTGGCTGAAACGGTTGAGTTGTGTTGCGATCATCATCATCCGAACGTTCCTCGAGTGGAATAAGAGGACTTTCTTCGTTCATGTTTTATATCATATCTATATAATGGACGACAAAGAGGTTGAGACTCAAACGACTCTTCACCCAACGCACAACGAGAAACCCTCCGGGCCATGAAGGCCGAGTACACTGTGAAGTGCATCACTTTCAACCTCAGTGAAGCAAAACCAGGCGAGACGCTTTACATCCACGTGCCCAACCTGAACAGAAACGAAGTCATCGTGCCGGGAACTCTGGTGCTACGTTTCAAAGAAGGGAAATCACTCTGCGCTTAGGATCTTTTTTTGAAATTCATCTCGCACTTGGTTGCGAAGTTGCTGTTTTATTTTTTCGAAGTTGGGATCGGAGTTTGTTTTAAAGCTTGAGTTTGGAACGAACAGCCTCTTTTAGTTCAAAATATTTTTCCAAATTTGAGTTAACAATCTCAAATTCCCGATCGGTGACAACGTTATCGTTGAGACTTTTGGAAACAAGGGCGTTAATGGAGTTGTGTTTGGTAGTGGTCTGTGAGTAATGCTTTTCGTGTTTTGTTACTTTCAGGCCGAGTTTTTTGCTAACGTTTGTAAGCAAAGCAGACCCAGCTCCGCAAAACGCGCCAACCGCACCAAGGGGTAGCCTCCCACGCAGGCGTTTTAGGCGTTTTTGAGGAGGGATGAAAGACGAACTTCCCTAAAGACGCCTGTGTGGGCGGCTAACCAAGGGGAAGGGGCAACGGCAATGATCTCAGGGCCCGTAAGGCTCAAGACGACGCCAGTAGTCGAGAGAGCGGCCGCGAGAGAGCCCAAACCGACCGCAGTGTAGTGCGTGAAGGTCTGTTGGCAACTTTTTTGTAGTTCTCGATTTTTTCAGAAATTTTTTTGTCAATGTTGCCAATTCGAGACAAGCGAAAGTTGTCAGGCAGCAACTCCGGATAGAGTTTTTCAGGCGGTGCACTTGGCAGCACGTTCGAAGAGGACATATATAATAACAGTATATATATCTGACTGGATTTGCTAAAACTTGGCTAAAGAAATTTCAAGTGCATTTTAACAATTTGACATCTAAGTCGAATGGAAAACAGTGAAAAGTCACAAGCTAAAGCTCAACAATCAAAGCTTTATTGCTGGAAACAGACAGTAAATTTCTCTCGCAGAAGTAACAGGATTTTGCGATGAAATAAAGAACGAGTTTGAAAAGTCGGGAAACTATAACTTTTTAGTCAGTCAAATCATTCCCATAGCTAAGTCTATGCCGAAAACACTAGATTTAAAATGCACAATCTTTGAGCGCAGAATAGGCTTTTTAAGGCAAAATCACACACACTAAACACTCACGAAGCGTTTTTATGCTTGCAAGTTTTCTGGTAACACGAACTCAACCACATAAATGTCAACACCTTCGGTAAATCACACAATAAATCACAACACTTCGTCAAATTACTCCGTAAAACTCTCACTT